AAGACAGTCTCTCATTTGATTGACTATCAAATCCAATAAAACGTAAGCTCTTTTGTCCATCACTTCCTTCACCGATATAATAATCTGTGCCACGTTTTGATTTTTTCATAGGTGAGACAAATTGAATGGCACAATCAAGACTAGTAGCTGCTGATGATGCTTCTTTTTCTTCTTTGAAAATTCTTTTTGCCATTGTTGTGTTTTGTGAATTTTGCAGTTATTATTACCCGTTTTATAGTTTTTCTGGATGCCACATGATGATGTGGCATTCAGAATTTTAAAACAATGAGTTGTTACAGTTTAATTGGACAATTGGGGGGGAGTGGCTCATGCTCATGATGTGGACTTCTGAAACTGCAGCAAAGCCGTGACATCACTGCTTGGCAAATTCTGACATCCACATCATTTTGTTATTATAAGCTGACGTGGCTTCCAGAATTTTAAATTGATTCTCTTTGGCAAAGTCAGTTTGTTTTCATAAGCTGATGTGGCTTCCAGCATTTTAAATTGATTCTCTTTGGCAAAGTCAGTTTGTTTTCATAAGCTGATGTGGCTTCCAGCATTTTAAATAGATTCTCTTTGGCCACGCCAGTTTGTTTACATAAGCTGACGTGGCTTCCAGAATTTGAAGAGACTCCAATTTCTGGATGCCACGTCAGCTTTGTTACATTACTGTTATTGCATCAATGGGTCTTTATAAGCTAGGTATAGCAGCAAGTTGGTTAAGTTCTTAGGCTGCTTTCTGACGAAAACAGCTCCATTCTTTGAACTAAGTTGTAGTACCAGCACTTGAAGTCTTGCCCTTATGGAACCTGACAAAATACAAAAAGTATTTTGTTGTTTAAGTATACGATTAATCATATCCTTATTTGGTTGCGTCTCTTTTTGTTGATGTAGTTGGATAAAATTGTAAAGCAAGAAGAAGAATTGTCTCAGATGAATTTGAAGATTAAAGCTCTTGATGATCAAAAGCAATATAAAACATCTGAAATTACAGCACTCAAGAGGGAATTAGTAAGTTTTTGTATAATTTTTTGTATTAAAAGTATGTTGTCTTGCAGGGGCTGCTTTTTCAAGGCGATGGGGGAATAAGATCAAGAAAAAGATCCTTCTCCAGAAAATAACTAATCATTAATTCTTATTATTATCATTTATCATTAACAATGATAAAAATGTTTTTTTCATTGATGTAATGATTTTGTTAGAAATTTAAAAACTCTTCATGTTTAAATTATCAATTGAATTGTATTATGAAGGCGGCAAGCCACTCTGCGCATGCTCTTAACCTTAAGGCACCATAATATTCTGCGCATGCTCAAAAGTGTCAAACAGCAGCAAGCCTTTCTGTGCATGCTCGTTAATCAAGTGTTTAATTAAGTTAAATTTTTCAAAATAAAAATTTAAATTTTATTCTAGATTTAAAAATTAAAAATTATTTCTTTACAATAAAATTATCTTGTTCACCTACAAAAAAATAAAAATAATGGTAAATTATCAAACTAAAAGGTGGGTTATATAAATTTGCTGTTGTTGCAATATCAAATATTATTTAAGCATTTAACAGAATAAAGCTACATACCATATTTTATGTCCTTGTATCATCGTCCACTCTTCTAAATTTGCAATTGCTATGTTAGCAGAAGAGTGCTGTTAATTTTGGCGACCTGGGTCCTTCAGATATCCCCGGGGAAAAACCACCACATCATGTAGTGTGGTGGAAAACCAGAACCTCTGTACATCTCTAGTAATAGTAATGACATAATTTAATACATTATATATGTACTTTGAATTCTTAGAACCATATCAAAAGAACCAACCAAATACTGACCATCAATGGAAGGGGGAGGAGGAGGTGCTATTAAACAAAGCTAGTAGTAGCCATTGCAAAAATATTTACAACTTACCTTTTCAGCAATATTAGAAATGATTATACCCCTTCTAATGACAGCTAATAATTTGTTGATTCTTTGAATGTAGTAGAGGTGGAAGGACTTCATGTGAAAATAAATTTTGTCAAAAAATAGCAATAAAGTTAAATGAAATTATAAAGTTACTTGGCTTAAAATAAAAACTCCATGTGCATAATTGTGTGCATAATGTTGGTGATTATCAGCCATGTCAGGGAGGTATAATAATTCTCATCTCTGCATTTTGGGCTGCCAGTAACACGCAAGGGAACGGATAAACTGCCTAATCACCACAACAG